AGAAAAAATAATGGGACAAAAAGAAATCAAGAGACATTTAGAATAGATAAAAATGTGCGATAAATTGCGATTAATCGCGAGTTAACTATGACATTAATGCGATTAAATATTTTAATCGTTTGACAGCACTACTAATTTATCTTTGTAAAGAAACCTCATTGCTTAACTGGCTACTCCCTGCTGTCTCAGACAAAGACATCTTTTCCTGTCGGCCACCGTAAATTTTGTTGGTTGCAATTCGCAACCTCCGATGCCGCTAAAAATCACACACTGCACCTTAAAGGACACAAAAGTGAATACAGGCTGGAACGAATGGGTAAATTGTGGGATCCTGACACTCAGTAAGCACTATAAATACACTATGTGTGCAGAAAACATTTTGTCTCTGGTAAATCAAATATCCAAATGTCAGTTTTATATATTATATTTCTGTAAGCTAAGCTATCACTGTCGCCGATTACGTTCTGCTCCAGAGGGCATAGTTCTCAGAGTAATATGACACGTTACGCTCTGCCTGTATCCACTTTTGTGTCCTTTTTTTCCCTTCTCTTCATTTTTATTCCAAAGACAAATGCTATTGTTAGTACAGAGTTCGCATTTTTTACATTTTCAATCCCTCATCCAACCCAGAACAAACTGTCTTAGATGATGTTAATGAACAGTAATGGTACATAAAATTAAATAAATAATAAATTAATAACAAAAGAAATAATAATAATGACAGCACAATTATATATATATATACACTCACAGGCCACTTTATTAGGTACCCCATGCTAGTAACGGGTTGGACCCCCTTTTGCCTTCAGAACTGCCTCAATTCTTCGTGGCATAGATTCAACAAGGTGCTGGAAGCATTCCTCAGGGAGTTTGGTCCATATTGACATGATGGCATCACACAGTTGCCGCAGATTTGTCGGCTGCACATCCATGATGCGAATCTCCCGTTCCACCACATCCCAAAGATGCTCTATTGGGTTGAGATCTGGTGACTGTGGAGGCCATTTTAGTACAGTGAACTCATTGTCATGTTCAAGAAACCAATTTGAAATGATTAGAGCTTTGTGACATGGTGGAAGTAGCCATCAGAGGATGGGTACATGGTGGCCATAAAGGGATGGACATGGTCAGAAACAATGCTCAGGTAGGCCGTGGCATTTAAACGATGCCCAATTGGCACTAAGGGGCCTAAAGTGTGCCAGGAAAACATCCCCCACACCATTACACCACCACCACCAGCCTGCACAGTGGTAACAAGGCATGATGGTTCCATGTTCTCATTCTGTTTACGCCAAATTCTGACTCTAACATCTGAATGTCTCAACAGAAATCGAGACTCATCAGACCAGGCAACATTTTTCCAGTCTTCAACTGTTCAATTTTGGTGAGCTCTTGCAAATTGTAGCCTCTTTTTCCTATTTGTAGTGGAGATGAGTGGTACCCGGTGGAGTCTTCTGCTGTTGTAGCCCATCCGCCTCAAGGTTGTGCGTGTTGTGGCTTCACAAATGCTTTGCTGCATACCTCGGTTGTAACGAGTGGTTATTTCAGTCACTGTTGCCCTTCTATCAGCTCGAACCAGTCTGGCCATTCTCCTCTGACCTCTGGCATCAACAAGGCATTTCCGCCCACAGAACTGCCGCTCACTGGATGTTTTTTCTTTTTCGGACCATTCTCTGTAAACCCTAGAGATGGTTGTGCGTGAAAATCCCAGTAGATTAGCAGTTTCTGAAATACTCAGACCAGCCCTTCTGGCACCAACAATCATGCCACGTTCAAAGTCACTCAAATCAACTTTCTTCCCCATACTGATGCTCGGTTTGAACTGCAGGAGATTGTCTTGACCATGTCTACATGCCTAAATGCACTGAGTTGCCGCCATGTGATTGGCTGCTTAGAAATTAAGTGTTAACGAGCAGTTGGACAGGTGTACCTAATAAAGTGGCCGGTGAGTGTATATATATATAAAAACAATAGTAAAAAAAACTTGGACTACTTTTGTGTCCTTAAACGCTTGTTTTTTGGGGTCGACAGCTTTTTTTAGGTTGTTTGCTGTAGGCATGGAACACACCAAGCCAACGCTGACGAACTAGCGCTGATGAAAGCCGACTGTGTTGTCGCCTTGCGTCGGGGTAAAAAGCTGCACTTGAACACACCGAGAGAACTACTGCCGACTGTCAGCTAGCATGCGCGTTCTGCGCCTGAGTGTAAATGAGACAAAATTTGTCATTCAAAACGGGGAAACATACCGTAAACAAAGCAGTGCATGCTTACTGTTTTAAATATCAATCCTGCTAAACACTTTCTTTATTCCACTCCGCTCGTGTTAATATTGAAATATTCGCCAAGGAACACTCAGGAAGATGACGTAACATAAGCCTTCTATCTGTAGAGTTTTGACTTCTTTGCTCGCTGTTTTGCTATTATTCTCGTGCACTGACTCTTTCACTAAGCTGAACAGCCAATCAGAGTTCCCTCTTTCACCGACGGCCTGACGCCGATTCAACATGTCGAATCGGCCGAAACAAAGCTGACGAGGACCAATTTCAGCCGACGGCACGGAACCGTGCGGAACACACAGAGGAAACTTAGTTGGCCGACGCACAAAAACTGCCCGACGGCCGACCGTCGGCTTGGTGTGTTCCAGGCTTTACAGTTTACACCTTGTCAAATAGCAGCTTTTAGACTGTTTTGTTTTTTTGTCAGAAATGACAAGGAGGCAGCTTCTCGCAATGCAAAGTCAATGGAGACGGCTTGTATTTGAATGTACTGTTGTAAATTTAGTTAATGGAAAATAAGCTAATGTGCATTTTAAAAATGTACACAATTCGGAGAAGGCATCTAGAATTTTTAATTGAGCAGATAAAATAATCATTTTGACTCATCCTGTTTCTTAAAAATGGTTTAAAGGCTGGAATATTAGGTTTATAATTTAATAAAACATTTGGTCAATACTTTATCTGAACATGTAATACATGTTAGACATGTTGTAAATCAAATCCGTCTGCAGCTGCTGCAGGTCGTTAAGGATTTTGAATGTTAAAATAGGGGTCTCCTGGAAAAAAGGTTGGGAACCACTGGCCTAGAGAACCTCCTAGTGGTCATTATATAAAACACAAAGACACCTACATGAGACATTTCTTACATTGACAGCTTTAACTAAAAATATACACAAGCTTGAGAGAAATTATTCTGATATGAGTGTTTTATATAAAATGTGTTTTAATTTGTTCAAATTCATGCAAACTTACCCACATTCAAGTGTTGATAAAAAAGAATGCTTTTTTGGGGGGGGGGGGGGGGGGGGGGGGGGGGGGGGTTGTTTAAAAGCAGAGCGTCTGTTCTGGGGGCCATTTGGTGAAAATGATCAAAAATGCTGGCGGTGGCTGGCAACTAGGGCTGGGATAAACGATTCTTTTTAAACGATTAATCTAGCGATTATTTTTTTCCATGCATCGATTAATCTAACGATTCATTTTTCCAGTCCGATTCGATTTGATTATCTCCCCATTAATTGACTAATAGCACTTTATACATGTTGATTTACATATCTGAATGAAAAAAAAACATGAATTCCTTAACATTGCAATATATGTTTATTGCTCTTAAAATTCCAAAATAAAAGACTATATAAGTGCAAAGTAATGCATTCTTATTTTCGTAACATTCATTTTCCACTAGATTTGTTCCTCTATATCTCATCAGCAATTTCGATTTCGGCACGCTCTGCAGCAGCTGAGCACTAAGGAGCGAATGTACAGTGACGTGACATCACTGCCAGATTCAAACTGTGCTTTCGCGCTATGGCTGGCGCTGAGCCAAAGACGGACGCGCTCAGCGCTTGTCATCATAGGCTATATCACAACTGTTCAGTGTTTTTAACCACATAATGTTTATTTTAGGTTTCAGACATTTAAATACATTTAATTTATAGTAAAACAATACATTTATAGTTTCTCCCAGTTCACCGGCCACTTACTTTCATGTATTTCGGGAGAAACTGATGAATTCACGTGCTGTAATAAATCCAACAGACAGGAATCTCGGAACTGCGGCCCAAACAAAAACATGACGCGACATCTCTCGCATGCATTGTGCGTGCGTGCCGCCTTGCACTTAGGAGCCACTCGTGTTGCTATACTACTGTCTCCGGCGCCGCCGTCTTTGTTTTGGGTCTGACGAATCGACGCGAATATTTTGTCATCGATGACGTCGACGCATTGTCCCAGCCCTACTGGCAACTTAAAGGGGTGGTATAATGCCCCCTTTTACAATATGTAAAATAAGTCTCTGTTGTCCCCAGAGTGTGTATGTGAAGTTTTAGCTCAAATACCCAACAGATAATTTCATACAGCATGTTAAAATTGTCCCTTTATGAGGGTCAGTAAAAACGCGTTGTTTCATGTGTGTCCCTTTAAATGCAAATGAGCTGCTGGTCAAAGAGGGCGGAGCTTCAAGAGCTAGTGTGTGTGTGTGTGTGTGTGTGTGTGTTAGCAGCTCCGATTACCTCACAAAGACACACTAAAATGTTTTGCCTTTTATGTCTAAACTGGAGTCGGACAATGATGGAGACAGAGACAACATGTAGAATGCAACAGGACGTTTCTGAATGGTTAGTTGATGAATTTGTTGCTGATGTGGAGTTAACTATCTTCAATTAGCATATTCTGTCATGATAATCTACACTAAACAAAATTATAAACGCAATACTTTTGTTTTTGCCCCCATTTTTCATGAGCTGAACTAAAAGATCTAAGACTTTTTCTATGTACACAAAAGGCCTATTTCTTTCAAATATTGTCCACAAATCTGTCTAAATCTGTGTTAGTGAGCCTCACAGGTGTGGCATATCAAAATTCAGCTTTGCATCATAGGAATGCATTACATTTAAAAATATATGAAAATAGAAAACCGTTATTTTAAATTGTAATTATTTTTCACAATATTACTGTTTTTCCTGTATTTTTGTTCAAATAAACGCTGCCATGGTGAAGTTCCCTTACCTGCTGGCTTAACATCTGGTTTTGACAGCATGGGTAAAGACAAAAGCTCATTCTTTGCATCTGAATCCACACCAGATAGAGACCTCTGGTTTTGAGACTCAGAGCATTTCACCTATAATCAGAGAAAAACAGAAGACCGCAACGCTGACTACAGGAACACCACCAGACTAATAATAGTGACCGCAAACTCTGTTCGAGTTAGTGTAGCATCCATTGGTTGCATTGCAAGCACTTTACCTGTGCCACTTTATCCGCTAATGGCAATTTAACAGATGATATCGAATATCAAACATGGTGCCGTTAAATGCTGATATGTTTACCCCTTGCTCCTGTTGTATTGTGAAAGTGGGGTAGGGGAGTGGCGTCTCAGTAATCTTGTCCTCACACTCCACTGGTGGGGCCCAGCAGCGTTTCTTAGAGGGAGGCGGCGTCATCGAAGTGAACTGACTTTGCTTAGTCAGCGTGTTCTCCTTTCCTACAGGACAGACAGTAGCAGAAAGAGATGTCCTCATCGAGATAATGGCCCAAGATTACATTTAGCAAAAACAGGTCATGCTACATAAGAACATAATTAATCTGTGCTCATTTTAAAACTGCAGTGAATCAGCAATTGCTAATCTCAATAGTAGCTGACCAAAAATGTATGAAAGCCACACAGAGAACTAAGAACTGCTTCTAATGATTGGAATCCTATTACTGATTCCAGTTAAAGCACAGCGTGCAAGAGAGAATCCTACCGCTGACATGTAAATCAAAAGAAAAACAGCTGCTTATAAACTTTAATATAAATATGTTCATATTTCAGAGTGGTTTTAGCGTTATTATAACATTAAATAGCATTCAACCTTCCAGGTTGACATTATGAATTTTAAAAATGAGATAGTATTGAAAGGACCTCAAATGATATTCCTCAAATGTCTTGTTTACGTTTGAATAAAACTTACAAATTCAAAGTGTCAAAACCTGAAATGATCACAGATCATTCAAACTGGAAGACTAGATATGCTTTTTCAATCTGAAAGCCCTCTGAAATGTAAACACATTTATTTGAAGGCTCATAAGCTTCAGTTGATTTATTCTGCACATCATCTTGCTGTGCTCTAACTGGGATCAATGGAGGAAATCAAATTGCGTCAAATTTATTATGGTGCCTGCTTTTTCTGAATAAGTTCTATTAGCTGGAAATAGCAAACAATGACAGTATGACATTCTCTTAATAACTTCACAATTTCATCTGGTCCTACAAGCCTGCATCTGAAAGACATTCTGTTTTTATGTTGGCAGAAAATTAACAGTTTGAGGAGAGACTGACCGTTCCTAGAATATTTAGCCAAAGTATTTTTCGCACTCCCATTCTCCTCATTTTTCTTCTGTTCGTCCTCTTCGTCCTCCTCCTCCATCAGACACTGGAAAGCAGCCATCTTCTTCTTCAGAGAGTCACAGCGTAAAAGAAACGGACTCCCCTGCAAAAGCTTCATGAGGAGAGGGCACAAAGTTACAGCAGATAAAGAAAAATGCAAACAACCTTCATCATCATCATCATAATGACGTTAAACAATGTGCCTCACTCTATGAAACACATTCATGTTGTATTACACTGGTGGGTCATGTCCCATAAATGGATCGCAAGTCTGTCCTGATAGGTTTGTAGACATTGAGGGAAAAAGTGATGCTTAATGCAAATAATCATTTATAATTATGCATTTTGAATAGCAAATTGAATGGGCCCATATCTTTTGTTGTTGATGTCAAAGGCTGTGTCTCTAATCAAACTGTATGGTATTCTGTCACACATTTATGTCACTAATAATTTAGCTTACTATACTTGTACAGTTCTTGCTCAGTGTTTATTCAATGTGTTAGGGTGGAAATCACTTTTGCATTCACAAAATTCAATGAAATCAAAATGGACAATTCTTATTTGTATGGAATATTGCAGTATTTATTATAAATGACTTATCTATGCACATCTTTTTTTTTATTCATGTGCCCTCATAATCTTTAATCAAAATAACTTCCCCTCCCTCTAGCAATGACATCTTTTCTCTGATGATGTGTTTACTGGCACGAGGGCGGAGCAACCTGTTACTCACATATGAGATCACAACAACAGGAAACCACAACCATCCAATCAATTCATGATGGACACAATCAAGTCCCTACATTTTTTTGTTTTGTTTGAGAAGCCATTTTACTTGGATATACATCACAATAGGGAAGAAAAGGCAACCACAACAACTCATGCCTAGCTTTAATGATTAAATCAATTATGCTTACTTTTGTTTGATAAACACTTTGGTACTGTGTTAGGTCACCACTTGATGATCAATGTAAAATCTGGTTCCTAAAACAAAAATAGCTGTGTTAGACCGTGCATCTACCTGTGGTGTTCGAGGAGGTGTTTTTGCAGCTTGTCTGGCTCTGAAGCAGATAAGAGAGTTCGTTTCTGGAGATCCCCGGACCCCAATCGTGGATCTCCTCCTAGACTTCAGTTGAGCCACTCTGGACTTATCTGAGGAGATAACACAGCATGAAAAGTGTGCTTTCAGTTACATTTAAAATTAATTTAGTGTGCTTCAGTGACAAAACAGAACTGCGTAGGGTAAAATTGTGCAAAATAAAATAACATTGTACAGAAAATTATCATAAATAATAAAAATGTAACAATAAAAGGCATTAACTAAACAAAAAGTGCATACGGCACATACACAAGGCAGGGATAGTTCACCCAAAAATGAAAATTCTGTCATTATTACTCACCCTCATGCCGTTCCAAACCGGTAAGAATTTTGTTCATCTTCAGAACACAAATAAAGATCTTTTTATAAAAGATCTTTAATAAAAGCCTAAATTAAATCTGTTCATCATATAAAGTGATCGAGTCTCTTCAGTTAGTTTTATGAACTATCAATCTCTTGAAGCGATCTCTATGAACTTTTCGAAGCATCAAAGTGATAGTTGCGTATCTGTCAATGGAGGAACAGAAAGCTCTCAGATTTCATTAAAAAGATCTTCATTTGTGTTAAGAAGATGAACAAAAGTCTTACAGGTTTGGAACAACATGAAGGGAGAGTAATTAATGACAGAATTGACATTTTTGGGTGAACTAACCCATTTAAATCCAGTTTATTTTTGCTAACCTTTAATCTGGGATGACGATAAGAAGCTGTCTGTTGATATGCCAAACTGTGAAGGAGTAAGTTTGGAGAAATCCACATCTCCAGCAGCTTCAGTGTTCTGCCGAGAGGGAGACAGGGCTGCCAGTGGTGGTCTGCTGTCCATGGCTTCAGTATCCTCCATGCTTGAGTCCAGTACATAAGAAATTAGATCTGAGTAAATAAATGAACTGAAGATAAGAGACTGTCATACTAAAACTTCAAATAGTACGATCACAAGATCTTCCACTCTTCAAGACTAGTCATAACTTTTTAAAGTCTGTTACATAAAAGGTAGATTGTTCTAATTTGAATCTGAAAAGTAAGACTGATTAGCCCCCGCTAAATGCTAACTGTTAGTTGGTCAGATATACAGATTACACAACAGATATTGATATTAATATACAATACTTCAAACTCACATCATCTAAGTTTAATTATCCTAACCACACACAATTATACGGTTAGTTGAATTTTATTGTTTACATTTAGCAGCTAATGTTATGTTTATGGAACTGGTCCCTGGACAGGAGCAATTTACTTTATGCACGTCTGTTAACATCTTAAAACATCAGGCACTATAATAAACATTACATATCTGCATTGGTTTACCCTACTGCGTAGCTACCAACATAACCACAACTAGTTTAGATATAGAAATGTGGCATCTAATATGTAAAAACAAATATTTGTTTCTATTGTAACTTACTGAAATGTTCAAACTTCGCTCCTTACCCGCACGTTAAAACGACGCAAATATTCTTCCGCTGTGAAGGAAGCTGAAATCACCTGAATGGACCTTAAAATAAACGTATTTTTACAGCCACTAATCTACCATACATCTGTATATAAATATTACTGAATTTTAAATGTGTATTTGTATGCGTATTTCCTGGACAAGAGAGAGTGCTAGTTCTAACGCATCTGGTTGTCCTTGTCCATCTGGCAACAACGTCCTGTTCATATGAATCAGCCAATCAGGTTTAAGAAAATGCGTCATGTGCTTCAAAACGGCCAATAACATTCAGGCGTACCCAACGTGCCTGTTGCACATTGTCACGTTATGTGTAGTTCGTAGACTGTAAATAATGGTGTAGTTATAATGAAGATTGTTTAAAAATTACTTTACTATAAAGTAAAGTTATTACTTTACTAATTACTATATATATATATATATATATATATATATATATATATATATTGTTTTTTAAATAATTTGGAAATGAAAATGTGCTAGCCGTTATATGTAGCATGTGGCTGTAAGAACAAAATAAATAAACATTTCATAAAACTGTACAATACAGTAGGTTGTCTACATTCTAAATTAAGTAGCCTATTTAAAAAAGTATAAATATTTCACCCTAAAATGCTGTCATCATTTGCTATTTTTGGAGCTGAAGTAGGCCTATCTTATAAGGAAATATTTCTAAAGTGACAGCAATTTTCTCTGCATTAGAGTCATAGAGTGCAGTTAACTACTAAACATCTTTTAATTTCAACTGTAAAACACTTTTCAACCTCCTCTAATGCAAGAGGAACAACAGACATCTCTGTTGGGTTTCTGCTGGCACGTTTGCAGCGGGACAGGGTTTGGCTGATGGTGACCTTAAAGGGATAGTTCACCCAAAAATGAACATTCTGTCATCGTTTACTCACCCTTAAGTTATTTCAAACCTGTATGAATTTCTTTCTTCTGTTGAACACAAAAAAAATATATACAGTATATTTTGAAAAAGGTTGATGAATGAAGAATTGTGCCCCACAACTGTTTGGTTACTGACATTCTTCAAAATATCTTCCTTTGTGTTCAGGAGAAGAAAGAAATTCACACAGGTTTGGAACAACTTAAGGGCAAGTACATTTTTGGATGAACTATCTCTTTAAGCCCCTGCTGGTAATATGCCATAGGCCTACATCCTTATGCAGGCAAAAAGCATGCTGTTTTCTCTATAGCTCGACATTCAAAAGCAGCCGGATGTTCTGAAAGGATTACATTTATTGCTAGCAACATTATTGAAAAATAAAATTAAAATTAAATTAAAAAAGGCGTAGAGATCAAGAAGGTACACCACTGTTCAAATATTTGGGGGTCAGAAAGATTTTTTTATTTATTTAATAGGCTACTTTTATTAAGCAAGGTTTAAGCTTTCTCCGTTAATCTATGCGGTCGCTGTGTCCATTTCTTTTACTGTCTATGGGTTAAACTGATCAAAAGTAAAGCCAGTAAAGACATTCTATTCATCAATAAATCTTGCAAAAATGTATCAGTTTCCACAAAAAAATTAAGCAGCACAAATGTTTTCAGCATCGATAATAATAAGAAATATTTCTCAGAATGATTTCGGATCTTGCGACACTGAAGACGGAGTAATGGCCCGGCTGCTGAAAATTCAGATTTGCATCACAGGAATAAATTTACATTTTAATATATCACAATTGCTGTTTTATGTATGCAGCCTTGGTAAGCATAAGAGACTAATAATAAAAAGACTGACCACTAACTTTTGACCTGTATAAGATAATATCAGAAGTTTGTTGATGAATACATCATTGATAGCGATGATGCCACTTTGAGTGATGTGATCTGCATATTTAAGCAGTTGCCCGAGGGTCTATCCAGATGTGCAGTATTTAGTGATCAGGGAGTAGAGAACCCTGAGGTCTGACAGGAGTCTCACAGATATGAGGTTTGACAGGTAGATGTTCGTGCGTCACAAAGACTTTGTTTTTTTTATCGGAAAGCCTGATCCGCTGTTTGTCTCGAGTGTGTTGGGGAGGAGATGCTCTGGTCTGTTTGTGTTGAATGGAGAGCTAAAAACCACGAACAGGATCCAGACGGACGTGCCAGGGGAGCCCAGGTGTTTCACAGACACAGATGAGGCTGCTTCAGGCTATGGTACTCTCCAATTTTCAGTTAACATTTCATACTGATGGGTTTAATACCATTAATAATGAATATAACTTTCTGTTTCTTATTCGTTTGACCTTGACTTAAACAGCAGCATTCCCCAACATCATTCATTACAACCAAAGCTATAATTTAAGCCTCAAAATAAGTGGCGTAAACAAATACACGGAAAGGTCAATTGAGACATAAAAGTAGTAGAGCAGAGATGAAACGTTCATAGACAAAATCAAGAGCACTATTTTGTTACCTAATCTTCATTTATACTTTTTGGATGTGGTACTGTAATACCATGTTTTACTTTGGGTAATACCATGGTTTTTATATATATCATGCGAAATGCCTGTTAGAAGTACTTTCTTGTCAGGGTACAGGTTCATCAGAGGTAAAACTTGGCTTTGTGATTTTCATTTTTGAACGAATAACTATAAATAAATGAAATTTCCAGATTCAGTATAGGAGCGCCACTTAAAATTTCATTTGAATGCAAATTGTCATACAATTCCTTTTACAATAGACAAATAATCAGATATTCAAAATAATATTTCATTAAATTGCATTAAGAATGAAAATATAAGTATTTCTTTTCAAATGGACAAATAAATATACATTTCAATATTTTTATTTAATTCAATTGCATTTAAAAAAGAATATATAATAAATTACTTTTTAAATAGACAAATAATCAGATTTTCAAAATAATATTGAATTAAATTGCATTAAATTACGTTTTAACAAATACATATACATTTAATTAGTCAATTAAATCGCATTTTAAATAGGCCTAAATAAATATATACTTTTCAAATAAACAAATAAATAGACGTAAATAATTTCACTTAAATAAATTGCATTTTAAACATATAGGGTCAGTTTGTAAATGCCATTTCACAATTCACAAATTAATTTGAAAAAAGTATTTTTTAATTAATAAAATGATATTTGACAACTTTATTTCATTGTCTGTTGGTATTTGTTGCACTCTAATATGACAACCAAGTTGATAAAATAATAACAGCTTATCATTTTAAAACAAAGTACCAATAGAACATCTAATTGACATGATTGATGTGTCTAAGAGATAGTGATGTGAAAGTGAGAGCTTGACACGCACCATGTAAAGTTAGAGAATTGGTTTAGCATTGACTTTCACCATAAGCACAGCTGATATCCACTAATTTGGATCCAGTGACAGTTATGGCTGAGTCATTGTCTCTTTGACGTGTTCTTGCAGCGCACCCCAATTCTGTCAGATATTGTTGAGAACTTGAACTGTTTTTTTTTTTTTACTTTAATTCTTTGATGCCTGTGGTAGCATTAAGCTGGGCTGCAGAACACCACTTTGATTTCTTATTAGCAGTTTGCCTCTAACTTTAGCACACACACACACACACACACACACACACACACACACACACACACACACACACACACACACACACACACACACACACACACACACACACACACACACACACACACACACACACACACACACACACACACACTGCTATATTTCGTCTGGTTAGGGTTTTAAAGCTTAGCTGATAATCACATTACATCCCCCTTCTGTTATTTAGACAGTTTGTAATTATAGTTTTCCATGTTGGTCTAAAAACCTAGCAAACATTAAATTTGCATTTTGTATCTGTTTAAGTGAAAGAGAATGACACAGTTTATAGGTTGCAGAGTGAAAGATCAAAAGCTTCTTTAAACGAAACTGATCAGTCATAATTTATTCCTTAAGATATTCAGTCAGGCACTGCAAACAGCCTCCATCTCGAAGGAAATAAACCGTGTGATCTTGAAATATCTCGCTCTCTGTTTGACTGGAGGTGCCTCTTTGTGAGAGATTGAGCTAAGCGTGGATGTCTGAAGAATCTGTCTGCTGTCTTCTTTGAACACACGTTTGCTGCCTATCACTGTAAACCCTAACGCTCAAAATACTTAATTGGTTTGAGTAGGAAAAACTTAAATTAAACTAATTAGTTCAGTCAAATTAACTTTTATGAGTATTTAGCACTTTCTTTTTCTTTCAAGTTCACAGAATGGATATATTTTAAGTAAACTGAACTGTTTCATTGTTTTGAGTTTTATGAAATTATTTCTTTTAATTTAGACGAACTTAAGTTTAACTGAAACGGCTGGGATGTATATTTCCCAGCATGCTTTGCCGATGGCACTCGAAAGGGAGAGTAAATGCTAAAATTAAGTGTAATACAATGTTTTTTTGTGCAAGATTAATGTTAAGCGGGTGATTTAGTAATGATTAATGTTTCGTTATGCTAATTTAGAAGAATTTCTGTTAATGTTGGTTTTAGGATAGTTACCATCATGGTGACAAGTGGTGCATGAGCTTGATTTGAGAGCAAATAATACCTTTATATTGCTGCAAGTGTTACTGTATAGCATACTATTGTTAAGAAGTTAACAAAATAGTATGTTAGCAAACTAGCTTGTTAAAGCTAGCTAAGTTTATACTAATAAAAGTGTTCACATTGAGATTACATGAAATTTTAAGTTAAATGTATGAATTAGTGTACTCAAACATTTCAAGTTAAGAACAATTCAAATGTACAAATACAAAATAAAAATATGTCAGTTCTGCTTACTTAAACTTTGAATTTCTTAACTTAAAAAATTTGAGGCAATTTATTGCCTTAAATTTTTTGAGTTGTGCCAACTTATTCGGGTTTACAGTACTGCAACCATTCCTTGCTTTGACAAATTTGAATACGGTAATTTACAGTACTTTTTGCAGGTATAGGCTGGCAGGCTCGGATGTTTAAACATTGCAAAGAGACTCCAGCTAAGTTAACAATATCAAGGTCACAATTTCATACTGATTAATAAGTATAGCTCGAATGCAATGGAAGTAGCTTGGGACGAAAGCATCTGCAAATGCATGAATGTAAATGTACTTTCAACTAAGGCAATTTTCATGACATAGTTATGGTAGGCCTTCTGCCAGATGAGAAATTATGGCAGGTGCATAATGAATATATCAAAAGCTGCTGGATGTGTTGCC